TTACACAATAATGCTGACTCATTACATCAAATCTGGAAAATTCCATACCGACATGCTAAAGAAATCATTAATAATTGCTCTACTTGTAGGACCCTACATCTTTGACCCATTGCACAAAATATCAATCCTCGAGGATTACAACCCAATGAACTATGGCAAATGCATGTCACTCATTGCCCTGAACTTTCTCCCTCTTCCTTCTTACATGTGTCAATCGATACAAATTCTTCTTTTATATGGGCCACACCTCCCTGAGGTGAAACTACACAACATGTTATAACCCACCTATTAACTTGCTTTACAATAATGGGAACACCTAGTTCTATAAAAACAGACAATGGCCCTACCTATATTTCTAGGCAATTCAAACAATTTTTGCAATCATTTTCTATTAAACAGACTACAGGTATTCCTTATAATCCACAAGCACAGGGCATAGTTGAACGAGCACATCACACACTGAAACTACAAATAAAAAAAATTTTTAAAGGGGGAATACGCAGGAACGCTTACATCTTCCTTATGCAGAGCAGACTTTACTAGATTCCAACACAATATATTCTTTAATCCTATAACTACTGTTAATACAGCTTTATTTGTTTTAAATTTTTTAAACTTACCGCAAGGAGCTATTTTGACAAAAGCAGAAGATTTCAAGGCATTGAAGGACACCTCCCCTCCTCTGCCCATTTGGTATCAAGACAGGTTGACTAAACAATGGAAATCTGGAAAATTAATATTACAGGGAAAGGGGTATGCTTGTATTTCTCCAGGTGGATCCAACGAAATCAGTTGGCTCCCTCTTCGGAAGATCCACCCCAGGAGAGCCACCAGCACTCAAGATAGAGAAGAAACAGCAAAATCCCCAGGAGGAAGAGTTTCCAGTACAAGCCATGGCGGCTTTAAAAATTTCCAGGAAATGCCACACTCGACATCATCGACCTTATGATCTCCCTACTTGGGGACAGATAAAAACCCTTACTAATCAAGCTGAAAATCTGGTTTCTCAAGAGGGAATGCCTCGGAATCCTGAAAATATTTTTGTCGCTATGCTTGCTTTGCTTGCTTTTGCTTCCCCAGCTCAGGCTGACTTGATTAATCACACTTATTGGGCTTATATACCTAACCCCCCTTTATTGCAGGTTATAGAATGGACAGATATAGGACCGATCGTATCCACTAATGACTCAGTACATATGCCTCCTCCTTGGAGCTTGGAGGGGCCCTCTCATCCTGAGGAAGAAGGAAGACTAATTAACATTTCTCTAGGCTATGAAATCCTTCCTTTATACATAGGCCCAGCAGAATTATGTATTAATGTTAGTTGACAAATGTGGGCTTTCGTCCTGCCTCCAAAAAAGAACTTCCACACATTGTTTAGACTGTTTACTGCCCTGTCCTTTTATGAGAACCATGTCAATACTACCAAAACTCTACGAAAAGGACAAAAGTTGGAATGTAAGGGGTTTACTTAAAAGGATTTTAAATATACTCCTGTTTATTGAGACAGATATCAAGGTAAATCAGGGAAATTAATGTTTGTGGCCAATTACACCATTGTTGATTGGGGACCCTATGGTATGTGGTTATCTAACTGCTCAGATGATATTAACAGTACTATGTGTGATTATGTTACTCAAGTAACATGGAAGATTACCAAAAGTTCAGTGGAACACTTCCATGACAAAGGACTTCTTGGCTGGCTTGACAGCGGAATATTACCTCCTCACCCTCAAATCGTCCTCAATAAACAAATTGGGCCTGAACAATGGGACATCTGGAAACTTGCTACAAGTACTGAAAAACTTGGAACTTAGACTAGATATTTCACAGGGACCAGTCATAGTCATAGTAACTATTCCTTCCATTATAATCATTCATATTTTATACAAGTTTGTGTTCCCCTTCCTTTTGTTATAGCCATAGGAAACTTACAATTTAATAAGACTTTACATCCTGTGACTTGTATAGATTGCAAATTGTATACTTGTCTTAATTCCTCTAAAAAAACAAATCCCTTTTGATTCTTCGATCTTAATGTAGTCTGTGGTTGCCAGTAGATCTCCAACGACCCTGGAAGAAGGGTCCCATGGCAAGACTTGCCTCCCAGTTACTCACTAAATTACTCCGACGATCTAAGCAATTCATTGGATGGTTGATTCTTGGCATTTGGGGGTTAATAGCAATTTGCACCACTGCTGCTGTCACAGACATTGCTTTACAAACTTCAATTCAAACACAAAACTTTATTCAAAATTGGACTAAAGATGTTCATACTATATGGGTCACTCAGGTTCAGACAGATGAAAAAGTTCAAGATAAAATTCAGGAATTAAAAACAGCTATCCAATGAGTTGGAGATCAATTAATAGATTTACAAAAACAAGTATTATTAAATTGTAATTGGAATTCTACTCAATTTTTTATCACTCCTGTTTGGTTCAACCATAGTGATTACAATTGGAAACAAATCAAATTTCATTTGCAAGATATACATAAATGTACAATTGTTGCAAAAGGAAATCCTTGAAACCTTCTCTAAGAGTCTACCCTCTTCCAACAATTTGGAAACCTTAGCTGAACAGCTAGCTGATCAATTATCTGGGCTAGACCCTCAAAGATGATTTCAAAGCATTACACATAGTATTGGATCTGGAACTATAATGCTGATAATTATCCTGGTGATTATATTTGTAATATACTGATACCTTTCAACCAAAATTGTTCAAACTAAACAAACCAATTGATCAGGGCCTTTTTCACAGAAGTATCTACAGTTACCCCCAGTTATGAAAAATAAAAAAGGGGTAATTGTCAGGGGATGTTCAACTTTAAGGGATCCAATATGTTATTTTCTTCTGTGTGCCATTTCTCAAAGACTCTCTATTCCTTATCAGTTCCTGGAAAACAGGAATGAGCAGAGTTCCACACAGTTCTCAGGACTGAGATCATGAGAAAGGGCACCTGCTTGGATTCCTTTCAGTGACTCCCTTCAGTGACCTTTTACTTAAATGTAATCTATTCAGTTATGCCCCTCTTACTCAGGATACGGAATGCTTTCTGGCCCTTTGAAGATTGTTATTTGCTTGGCTTTGTTTTTGCTCAATTTTTTTTACTGCCTAAAGCTGCCTTGTATGAAGATATATGAACAAGCTTTTTTCTCAAATAAAGCACCCTTGTTTCACTCGAGATTTGGGTCCCCTGCATCCTTCTTGTCGACTCCGGTCCCCAGGTCCCAGTCTACAAAGACTGTGACATTGCATTGGTTGTTATTGATCATTGTTACTGTTATTAGCTAACACTTACTGAGGGCTTGAGCAAGTGTTAGTCGCTCAGCTGTGTCTGACTGTTTGCGACCACATGGACTGTAGCCCGCCAGACTGTTCTATCCACGGAATTCTCCAGGCAAGAATACTGGAGTAGGTAGCCATTCCTTTCTCCAGGAGATCTTCCCAACCCAGGGATCAAGCCCAGGTCTCCCTCATTGCAGACAGATTCTTTACCCTCTGAGCCACCAGGGAAGCCCAAGAGACTCTATTTCTAAAGTCTGGAAAACCAACTATACCTCAGTGTGATCAACAGGATCAATATGTTACTACTGCCATTCACCATTTTGTTCTTTTCTGAAATGGTAAAATAATAAGTACAAAAGAACTCTGAAAAGCAAAATTGCAAGACCAAATCTGCCCTCATTTTAAATTAAGACAAGGTGGGTACTTCCCTGAGGGTCCAGCGATTAAAACTCCACCTTCCAAAACAGGGGACTTGAGCTCAACTCCTGGTGGGGAAATTAAGATCCCACATGCCAAGGGGCTAGTGAGCCTGTGCGCTAAAGCTAGAAAGAAGCCCTCACGCCACGATGAAAGATCCCAAGTGCTGCAACTAAGACCTAACGCAGCCAAAAATAATAAAACTTTTAAATAAATAAAGATGAGTGGGCAAAACATGCCCAAGATAGCCTTAAGAAAAATGGCAGCAAATCCTCTGTTAAATTGTAGGAAATACACATTACAGTCAGCTCAGCCCATGTCAACCCAAAACTTTCTCCAAAAACTGCCCATCCCCGGCTGCTTCTGTGCATAAGCCTGACTCTTGGCTGCTACTGATGTAGCTCAAATATGAACACCTGACCAGGCCTGGCCAGTGGGATGCAGGGAGAGCATCTTTCTGGGATTTAGAGAGCACATTGGTATCTTCTGGTAGCTGGATCTAAGGAGAGATGTTTGGGATCTGTAAGGCGGCAAGGTCCATGGGCAAGCACAGCACACTGGTCTTGAGGGCGCACAGTCTGAATGCTCAGTGATCACAGGCCCTAGGCAAATGTGAGGAGGCAGAGTCTGGGTCCCCAACAAGGCTCACGGCCTGGATCAGGCCCACCCAGGGCCCAACCCCACCCCTGTTTTTGGCTGCAGCCAGGTCAGGCTGATTTCCACTTCTTGTGGCCAAACAGAATGACCAGTGCCGAGGGGCAAGCTGTTTGGTCCCTCTGAGTAACCACAACCATGGGGGTTACCATATCTACCTGACTCCCTCCTGACACGAGGACCCCCATCATGGTCCCGAGCACCTCTGGATTTTCTCCCAGCCTGCAACTGGCTTGCCTGAGTGCCGGACTTGCCCTTCCCAGGGCCACCTCGCCGCACCCTGGTTCAGCCTCCCCGCATGCTTGTGTTCTGTTTTTCAATGGCACCCTTGACAGCAGAGTTGGAGTCAACTGTCACTCAACGGCTCCAGCTCCCTGGGTCATCCGTGTCTTTGGGATCTTCTGCTAACAATGTCGAGCAAAATCCAAACCCTTCATATGATGCAATACATGCTGTTGACTGGAAGCATTGATTTAGCGTCTTTTCCCACCAAATTCACCAATGAGAAAACAGCACCTCAAGGAAACTCAAGTAGACAAATCTTTGGTTAAACCCTTAACCTGAAGGGACCCAGGCCACTGTTTCCCCACCTCCCTTAGACATATCCATCCTCCTACAGAGACCGCTGGGCTGTACCTGGGATATAAATGGTGCCACCATTGCTCCAATGCGACACAGGGAGCCGCTGGTCCCCATCCCCAAAGCACGCATCATCGTTGGGTAGACCTGCATGGGAGCAGTGTAGAAAGCATCAGTTTAGAACCCTCCTTTCCCGAGTCCTCTGTTCTTCCCTCCCCGGGTCAGGCTTTGATAATATATAAAAGGCCAAATAGTCTATATAGATAGGATAAGAATAGAAGATGTTCATTTTCTCAGGTATACAACTTTGAATTCTAACACTATCAGATAATAAACATTTAGAAATCATCCTTTCAGTGAGCAAATTCCAAAATATGTGTTTAATATTCCAAAAGTGATTTTAGAAAACTAAACTTTGGAATCAGATAGAGTTCCACCTTAGAGCTATAAACATATAAAGGTGGTTCTACTGAATGGAAAGAAAATACGCCCCAAATAATAACAATCCAAGCAAATCTTTAATATAGATACAGTGAATTGACTGAAGTGTCAGATACAAACTACATCATCCACCGTGTTTTCATTGCAAAACCATATGGCACAGTCTGCTTTGTTTCATTTATAGCAAGACCTCATTAACCTGCAATGCAGGAGACCCATGTTCAAACCCTGGGTCAGGAAGATCCCCTGGAGAAGGAAATGGCAACCCACTCCAGTATTCTTGTCTGGAAAATTCCATTGACAGAGAAGCCTGGCAGGCTACAGTCCATGGGGTTGCAACCCTTGGACATGACTTATTGACTAAACCACCACCAAAAATCTGTACTTTATTGATACAGAATCCTTGACAGGCAAATAGTTAATAAAGAAGATTATAGGAAGAATATGTAGGGAGAATATATGAAAGAATGCTTCTTAATTTTGGAGAATTTTCTCTGAATGCTATGTAGTACTGATCAGTTTTTATCAATTTACCGAAGTAAAGCATGTGACCCCTCTACACACCATCTGTCAGATGCAACAAGATGCTATCCTGCCCCAGGGGAAACCGCTGTATTTATAAAAGATGACCTAGGGGTTGAGTGCCTTTTCCTGGAGTTCTTTTTTTGTGGAAAATGAGGTTACTGGCTATTGAAAACAATGGATTCAGATACATAGAGATGATCTTTGCTCTAATATCAATGTTTTTGTGTTTTGACAATTCTAGGAGATGAAATAATTCAAGACAATCATGTTCTGGTACACATCTTTGATTTTTTTTTAAGCCATAAGTATCAGGGGGAAAATACCTAGAAACAACCCTTTAAATGAACACATTCCAAAATGTTAAATTGAATATTCCAAATATAATTTTAGAGGTACACCACAATACATATAGACCTTTAAGTTTACAAATTCACAATAATTTTAGAAGATTTTGTCAATGGAACTAAATGAAATATATGTACTGATATATGTCAAATATGTTATAATTTCCTATTTTTAATCTGCATGAGAGGAAAAGAATATTTTTTTCCTGTGGTTTTAATGATTTTGATATGTAATATCAGTATTTTGAACAGACTTTTACCTTTCTTGATATGAAAATGAATGCAGCCTTAGCAGTCCCTACAGTACCACTTTCTTTAGCTCAATGAAAGACAAAGCCAGTTAAAATACTGTTTCCTATTCAGACATTGCTTATTTCTAGGAATGTTTGCTCTTTAAACTGGGGCTTTCTGAGGAGCCCCCTCAGAAGTAGATGTATTAAGTATATGGAATAATTCAATAAACTAAAGATAAATTACTCTTATATTTGAATTTAAGCCACACACAAAAAACAACAGAGTGGGATGTGATCTTTCAAAAGAAAAAAGTTGAAAAGTACATTCTAATTTCAAAAAGAGAGAGAAATAGGGTGCTTTACATTTTATCAGCAACGTGCAGGTATGGGTCCTATTTCTTCAGGAAGCAGGGTAAGCGGGCAATGAGGTTTGTTTGGGGTTTTTTTGTTTTTTTTTTAATGTGAATGTGACTTAGTGAGAAAGGGAAAAGGTCCTTTCTTTCTTCTCAGAGACTGGCTTTCACTAGACCCCATGGGGCAGGAGAAAGACCACATCAAATACACTTTCTGATGTCATTTTAATAGGATGTTTTTAGAAACTCATCAAAAGTCAGCAGAAGCCAGGGATGCGTTATCTACAGACAAACACCTTGATGTAAGCAACCCCTTCCCCAGAACTAACCTCAGCGGTGTAAATGTAGATGGTGTTGAAGTTGGCTGCCACCAGAGCCCTCAGCATGAAGAGGAAGCCGATGAGGCCGGCACTAGGGAACCGAAGGGGGACATCACAGAGGCAGCAATGGGAGGACTTCCGGGGCCCCCATCCCGGTGCATTGTAGCGGCCAACACACACACCCCCACGGAGGCCAGGACCCCGGGGGGCTGCTCATCAGCTGGCCTGACCGTGGGGTCCTAAAGCAAATCCTGACCCAGACCTTCAGTCCTGTTCCCCCAGAGTGTGCCGTTCCAGCCTGCCCCCCACCCCAGACGGGCACACCTCTGTGACCACTCCTGGAAAACGGTACAGTGTGCAGAATAAGTCATACAGATTATGAATGAGGCCACCCTAGAGTCACAAATTCAGAGTGCAAGGAATTTTCCCCCCACAGGTATGCTGTCTACATCACTGTCTTGACAAGGGTGCAGCTCATTTGGTCAGCAACCAAGTTCCCCATTCTCCAGGAAACTTTGTAAAAAGATCCAAAATATCTTGGTGAGCAAACTGAATAGCCCCAGGCTAGTCCTGTTCAGGGGGAAAAAAGGAGTAGGAGGGCAGAGGCAGCTCATACTCTACTTTCCTAGGGAAAGGGACTTGTTCCTGACCCGCATTGAAGGCCATGGGTCAGGAGACCTCATTTTATTTATTTTACACTTTTGTTTTCTGGCTATGGGGCATATGGGATCTTAGTTCTCCAACCAGGGATCAAACCTGCACTCTCTGCAGTGGAAGCACGGAGTCTTAACCACTGGACCACCAGAGAAGTCCCCAAGAGACCTCATTTTAAAACCACCGCTCAAAACTAGATTGTTCCAAAGCAGCCAGAGAGCAAATACCTTGAGGTGCAAATATTGAGGAGCAGGAAGAATAAAGCTGTACATCCCATGGTAATAGAAAGGCTCAGCCGTCTCCCCAGGAAATTAATGCCCAGGATGTTTAAAGGATTCACTGGAAAAAAACAAAGACAATTTTCAGAACTTTGACAGCAAATGGCATTTACCACACTGGCATGGTTTCCTCCTCGTCATTTCATAAAGAAACAACTTAATTCAAACCTCATGGGTATTGCAGCCAAGAACAGTCACACTGTCATCAACATCATGCTCTTTTCACATCCTTTTCCCATGTGGGTCTGAGAAAAACACGTATTGGTGTATGCAACGTATATTTTATGTCCAGGATGTGTATTACTGCATATATGTCTATTGTAAACTGCCCACTTGTTCGATCTATATTTTAAATATTTTATGCTGTTTTTCAAATTCAAGATGCCATGAATTTTTGGGGGGTATCTAATGCAGCATGTGGAACTTCCCCAACCAGGAATCAAACCCACAGCCCCTGCAGTGGAAGCATGGAGTCTTAACCACTAGACCACCAGGGAAGTCCAAAGTGCCAATGATTAAGTACCATTATTTTATGCCTATTAAAGCAGAAACAGTGCTTCCAAAGGGAAACCTAACAAGTCATTGCAAGACACATCCCAGTTGCAGAGATATTACAATGTGGGGAAAAGGCATCTTAGAATTGATTCGATAAAGTAATTTAAAGCTTCATGTCTCCAGACTTGTCCTCCCTCCCCACTGCATCCACACTGGAGACACGTCAGCATGATTTGGGGACTCGTCTAGTCCTACCAGGCAGGAGCCAAGTGTATGACAGGCCACTCTTCTCTGTGAGGCTCTGAGTTGCCTGTCACCCACCCAAAACAGAGAGCCACCCAACAGAGAGAGACATTTACGAGCAATTTCGCCAATGGTGCTGATAATCATGGTCCTGTAGTCAGAGGGGGCGAACATGTGGCAGTAACAGGGGCTCTGGCTCTCCTCCAAGACCCCCCCAGTCACGGCCACCTCGGACTCGGACCGCGAGCCACAGACTAGGTCCCGCTCCAGCAGCTCGGCGCTGGCCAGGATGACCCCGTAGTAGGCAAAAGAGATGCCCAGCCTGGAAGCAAGAAAAGATGGACATCAGGAAAGGCTGTCTCCAGGCCTGAAGAAGGGGTAGCCCCATGAGAGGTGGGGAGAAGGAGAGAGAGCTTTTCAGGTGGAAGGCACGGTGTGTGGGAGGGGAAAGAAGGGGAGGGGAAAGTGGGGTCACATTTCAGGGGGAGACTGGAGGGTGGCCTTCACCAGAGACTGCATGGTGAGAAATGGATTTGCAAGAAAAAGCAGAAAGGGCTCAGAGGACCCCTCAGGCCAGGAGAGAGTTTTGTCACAGAGTCAGAACAGAACTAACACCACGTTGAAACTGCCCCCCTCATTCTTCAGCTCATGTACTCTGTTACTTTAGCCCTGAATACACAGAGTTAGCTATCAGAGCACTGTTGCTTGTGCCCAAACAGCTTATTAAGTTCCCATTCCAGGTGGTCCAGCGTTAGTTATACCTACTACTTGTAGGTAAGTTCGTTTTCAGCCTAGAAACCTTGCAAATAAACAGAGATAAGGGTGGTAGAATAAAAATAACCAATATTGATTTGAAATTTTGCAGAAACCCTGTAATCCAGCCTTGTGAGCAAACAGAACAAAGAAAAGCTAAGCTCCCCTTGAAGGCCAGTGGCTCCAAGAAGTCTGCAACTCATCCTGACCCTTTCATCTCGAACCCTCCCACCTTCATCTTTCCCTCAGCTAAAGAGCAGCCTGAATGCTACTCTAGGTTAAGATGGTTCTTTAAAACTTTAGTCCACCATCTTCTCAGTCTGCTGGCATTCTGGATAAAGTCACTATAAGTTGCCTCAACACCTTGTCTTCTACTTGCCTGTCATGCAGCAAGCAGCACAAGCTTAGACTGGGTAACAGTTTCCTTTCTGCAGCTGCTCCAACATGTGAGCACAAACAGTGCTTTAAACAGTTCACAGTTATCTCACAGTCCTGGAGGTCAGCACTTCAGTGGGTCTGGCTGACTTCTCGGCTCGGTGTCTCAGGAGGCAGAAACGCCAGTGTAGGCGGGGCTGCTCCACTTTTTATGGGAGAATCCATCTTCAAGCTCATCCAGACAGTTGGCAGAACCCAGCTGCACAGGCTGTAGGACGCACGTCCACGTCCTTGCTGGCTGCTGACCAGGGCTTTTCAGCTTCTGCAGGCGCCCTTGTTCCTCGTCTGCAGAGCCAGCGAGAGCAGTCGTGTCCGCCCCGTGCTCCTACCTTACCCCACCCTTCTCCTCGGCTGCAGCTCTGATTCCAGCTGGAGAGACGTCTCTACTTTTAAAGACTCGAGAGGTTAGATTGCGTCCACCTGCCTAATCCAGGCTATGCTCCCTGTTTTAGGTCGGATAACCATACTTATTACATCTATGCTCTGCCTTCACATCCACAGTCAAGTGAGTGTTTGATGGAATCACCAGGTGTTGGAAATCTCGGGGGTCATCTTTAGAATTCTGCCTTTCGGAGGGCAGGGAGCCATACAAGGTTTTTGCTTTTGCTTTATATTTCCTTCCTCTGGCTCTCTCTCTCTTTTTTTTTTTTTTTGGTCTATTCTTAAATGTTTTTATATATTTAAAATAAATATAAATGTTTTATATTTAAATAAAATAAAATTTTATTTTATTTAAATATAAACATACAGAAAAGTTCATATATCAAAGTGAAGAAAAAGAATAAAGTCAGCCTCCCAGAAGCCCCCCTCATGCCTGTTTTATGGAAATGGTTATTAAAGCCACATGTAAAAGACATATGGGGACAATTAGGGGAAATTACATATATTCTGCACACTGCATGATACTAGTGATGACTGTTAATATTTTTTCATGTTTAATTTTATTTATTTGACTGCACCGGATCTTAGTTGTGGCAAATAATATCTTTAGTTGTGGCTCTTTAATTGCAACACATGGAATCTAGTTCCCTGACCAGGGATCAAACCCAGGCCTCCTGCATTAGGAGTACAGGGTCTTAGCCAATGAAGCACTAGGTGATTCCCACAATTGCTAACCTTGTTGGTGTGATTATAGGGTTGGAATCATCTAAGAAAAGGTCCTCAAGTAGTTGAGACTCTTAATGAAGTACCTGGGAATGAAATGGCATGAAGCGTTGGGCCTACTTGGAAATACTTCAGAACAGGAAAAACAGCCAAAGCAAATATGGGTAAATATCTGTGATTCTCAGATCTGAGTGGCAAGTAAATCAGACTTCATCGTGGGATTCTCTCTGCTTTCATGTGAGCTTGGAAATTCTCATCATGAAATATTTAAAAAGAAGACAATAATCACCTTGCTATTAAGGTAACTTTAAATTTTGCTTAATTTCCAAATACTGAGAGTATTTTAAAAATTAAAAAGTCTCAAAAGGAGAAACATCAATGCACTTTTAGTGATTATATCTGGGAAAGGCAGAGAGACAGCCAATCCTGAGTTCAAACACTATCGTTAAGTTTCTACTGTTCTGAATCTTTCTATAACTGGAAACGTGTATTATGTATTCTGTGTCTGACTTGCTTAGCTTACTATTACATTTGTAAGATTGAGCCATGTTGAGGGCAGAGCACCAGCTTTCTCATTTTTATTATTGTATAGTATTCTATGTTATGAATATAATACAATTTATCCATTATACTGTTGATGGGCATGTGGGTTGTTTTTAGTTTGGAGCTGTTACAAATAAAATAATGCTATTTTATTTTACTTGGCACTTCTGTTTAATAAAAATTTAGGAGTGAAACTGCTGAGCCATAGGTTATGCATACTTTCAACTGCAGTAGAAATCATTAAACAGTTTTTCAAAGTGGTCATGCTGACTTGAAATCCAATCATCAGTGTACAAAAATTCTAGTTACTTCACATCCTTCCCAACGCTTGATACAGTCAGTCTTTTTAACTTAGCCATTCAGGTGGATTTGCAATGGTTTCTCATTTGGTTTTAATTTGTATTTCCCTGGAGACTTTAAGGTTGACCATGCTTTCATGTATTTATTTGATACATATTTTTCGTCAAGTGGCTGTTCAAGTCTCTGACCTATTTCTCTACCAGGTCAGGTATGCTTTTCTTGTTGAAATCAGTTATATAATAGTAGCATATATTAATAATATATGTAACATGTATATATAATTTGTTGGACATAATATACTATAAATTTCTTTTCTCAGTTGGTGGCATACTTTTCAAGCTCTTAATTTAATGTAGGCAAACTCATCAATCTTTTCTTTTAGAGTTAATACTTTTTGTATCCTGTTTAGAAAATCTTTGCACAGAGAGAACCATTGAATCTATTCCTTTGAATTTGACTCTCAGTGACCTCAAGGATCAGTTCCAGGAAAGTGATGAGGGAAGAGACCAGGCTGCAAAAGGTTAGTACAGAACTCAAATGAAAAATTTTTTAAAACCTGGTTATAGATGATTTGGATTTTTTGCTCTCTTTTTATACTGTTATTTTGTATCTATTTTTCGGTCTGTGGTGTTAAGCAAAAAGATAAGGCATTACTGGTATCTGCCTTGTGTTTTCTCCCTATACTGGTATCTGCCTTGTGTTTTCTCCCTAGAAAACTCAGGAGGAATTTACTTCAGTGGACTCTCTCCCACTGAAAATATTTGTTTATTTGGACCTAGGTTTTCTTTTTTTTTAACTGGAGTATAATTGATTTATAATGGTGTATCAGCCTCTGCTATACAACAATGTGAATCAGCTATAAGTATACATATATCCCCTCCCTCTTGAATCTCCCTAAACCTAATTTTGAAATAATACCATTCTTACCATATGACCCAGATCTGTAACGTGGTCCGTAAATATTTAGCATCTAACAGGTCTGCAAATCTTCCTCTCTTTTCCTGGGGTAGTGAAAGGGAGAGACAGGACAGATTAAGTAGGTTAAGTATGGGCAAAGGTGACTCTAAAATTTTAGATCAGAGAAAGCAAGAACAATGTGGAAATGTCATGCAGAGAGATGGCCACTCCGCTCCCTGAATATCCTTCACCCAAACCCATAAATACTGTCTTTAACACATTTGTCTCAGTCAGTTAGTCTTTGCATACTTTTTATTATCACTGGCAAGTACCAAGCACGACCCATTGAATTTAAGGTTCTAACCCTTTCACCCTTCTCCTTCTCACCAGTATTGGTGAGAGGTAGACTAGAGTACAGAAAATTGGAGGATACAAAAACAGCTATGAAACTGATGGAGATTCTTTTAACATTAAGATGAAGAAACCCTAATATTTAAAAAGTGTGGGCCTCGTGTAAAAAACAAGTGGCCTAAATTTGAAAAGAGGATACAGTGTCCAATTTCTTTGTGAGTCTTTAGTAAAAGTTCTTGTCCATAGCCAGTGCCCATTAAGTATGTTTGGATCAAAATAAGGCTGAGCTATACAGGATTAGGCAGTAATGGATTTTTATGTAAAGCTAGGAATATTTCAGGTGGAGGGTGCTCAGCTGAAAACCAACTACTCTTTTTTCACAAATCCACCTGGGATTACAACATCTCACCCCTGGCCCCCCGACCAGGGAGACCAGAAGTGTGGTCTGGGAGTCCTGGATTTTGTTATCACAGGAAGAGCTTCCAGAGAACTAAGAGGTCCTTTGCTCTGTAACTTTCAGTCTCGGCTCCTAGATTTCACGGGGGGTGGACTCGAGCCACTGACACTCCACTTTCATCTGCTTTATATCTCAGGACTCTGGTCACTCATCTTTGGAAAACCTCTGATCCAGCCCTATCCTCATATTTTCCAACACAGAATATACGGCCAAGAGAGGGTAAGTGACTTGCCCAAGATCACACAGCTGTTTGGAGACAGAGCCAGTCTGGGTCTTTCTCTCTTTCCCACCTGCCTCTCTGCCATGTCCCTTGGGTTTAGATACAACTATGGCCCCCTCACCTCCCCAAGTGTCACTGGAGATTCAGAAAGCTGAGTTATATATACACAGACAAACTTTATCCTAGTAAGTCATTTGGTTCTGAACCTTTGGCCATACAACCCAAATGGGTGGACTTATTCAGCCCCTTCACGGCATGGCCTGACCTCAGACAGCCCCCAAAGCATCTCAGGAGTGAAGCTGCAGAGGCTCCATGGCCCACAGCATCTTGCCCAGCCTCCTCCACACAGCATCCTAACAACCAGCTATGTGACCGAATTCACTGCTCATCCCTACCTTTGGTCTCAGCTCACACCATTCCTCCTGCCTGGCCTTTTTCCTCCCCAAGGCTGCCTCTCCTCTCAGTCCCCACTTCTCCGCAGGTGGCTCTGCCAACCTGGCTCACGGTCACCTCTCTGCTCTGATCCTCCACACCCTGCTTCCTGGGCCACTCACCTGGTTCCAGGCATCTGGGTTCTGTTATGCTATTGATGCTCTCCTATGTGAGTCTCACCTCTCTAACCAGATTTAGGAGACTTAAGGCAGGGTCCATCGCTTACAGCTCTGTATTCACAAGGCCTTGCTCAATAGACCACCGTGGAGAAGAATCATTTAATGGGCTTGAGGGATGGAGGCAGCAAGATGAAGTCAAGAGAAACAAAGGGGGAGAAAGAAGAAAGGGGGAGGAAAGAGAAGGATGTAAGAGGGAGGAGGGAAGGGGGTGGTTGTAGAGGTGACTGAGAATGGAGATGGGGTCTTTAAAGAGTTAAATGAGCTAAAATGAGGTCATCAGGGTGGACTGTAATCCAATATGACCGATGTCATTATGAAAAGAGGTCAGAATACACACACACTGGGAAAATGACGAGAAGACACAGGGAGAAGACGCACATCTAAAAGCCAGGGAAAGGAGCCTCAGAAGAAACCAGCTCTGCAGCACCTTGACGTTGGACATCTAGCCTCCAGAATTGTGAGAAAATTATATTTGTTGTTTAAGACACCCAGTCTATGCTGTTTTATTATGGCAGCCCAAATGAACTAATACCCAGTGGGATAGGAGATGGAAGGAGGAGGGGTGGAAGAGGGAGGAGGCAAAAGGGAAAGAGGAAAGAAGTGCACCTCAGGGCTCTGCAGTCCTGGAACAACTACTGGGTTAAAAAAAAAAAAAAAATACACATCAGAGACTTCCCTGATGGTCCAGTGTAAGACTTCACCTTTCAGTGCAGAAGGTGCAGGTTTGATCCCTGGTTGGAGAACTAACATGCCACATGGCCTCTTGGCCAAAAAAACAAAACAAAAAACAAAAGCAATACTGCAACAAATTCAATAAAGACTTTAAAAAACTGGTCCACATCAAAAAACTCTACAATCAGACTCTCATGATTGTTCAGTGTCCGTGGTTTTGTCTCTAAATTTTTTTCTCTCTCTGAATCCAATTTTATTTTTTATGCTATTGACAATCAAAATTTCACAGCCAGTTAGAGATTATGTGCCAGTTTCAACAAAGCATAATAGCTTCTTTCATTTAATCCCTGTTGCCTGGCAACTAGTCTTCCCACTGTGCTTTGCATGATAAAATGGAATTGTCAGTATCTTAGTAGAAAGGTAGGAGAGAGCTGATACTGCCTAATAGTAGGGTCCTGACCTCTGAACCACAAACTTTTATTTCCAAAATCCAGAAAATAAATTAGAATAACAGAAGCATCCTTAGTTCTTTGGAAGAAAGTTCAAGGTTCCTGTTTCACAAGTGGGTTTTGAGGCATGTGGAATAATTAGGGGAAACACTCCACAAAGCAAAGTGAGAACACCTTACCAAACAAAAACTGAATGTGAGGAAGTTTGGGGCATTTAATTCTCATTTTTGCATTATTGTCAAGCACATTCTATCTCACAACACATCCAGCACCAGGTCAGGTGGCAGTGGGATTACAATGCTTTTGTCATCAGTGATGTCCTGGGAAGTCAGGAACACCCTAGAAAAGCCCACCTCTGACTTATGTGCAGGACACAGAAGACCTGTACCCTTGACATCACCTTCCTGTTGTGGTCATACGATACCTGAGGGAGTAAGATGTGGGGAGGTGAGTGGGGAGAGCTGTTGCTGCCCTGGACCCATCTGAGGCATGGAGGAAGAGTTGGGTCAAGATCAGGCTCTGCCATAGACTGGTGCAGCCACTGTGGAAAGTGGTATGGATAGTCCTCAGAAGATTAAAAACAGAACTGCCATATGATTCAGCAACCCCACCTCTGGGTATATATCCAAAGGAAATGAAAACAGGGGCTTAAATAGATCTCACTCCCACTCCACTTTAAAGTTCTTCTTAAAAAAAAAAAAAATTCAATTTTGGTTGGTTCACTTGGTTCATTTCCAAGGCAAACCATTCAACATCACAGTAATCCAAGTCTATGCCCCAACCACTAATGCAGAAGAAGCCAAAGTTGAACATTTCTATGAAGACCTACAAGACCTTCCAGACCTAACACCAAAAAAATAACCAAGTTAACACCTTAGGGGATTGGAATGCAAAAGTAGGAAGTCAAGAGATACCTGGAGTAACAGGTAAGTTTGGCCTTGGTGTACAAAATGAAGCAAGGCAAAGGCTAACAGAGTTTTGTCAAGAAAACACATGTCACAGCAAACACCCTTTTCCAACAACACAAGGGACGACTATACACATGGACATCATCAAATAGCCAATACTGAAATCAGATTGATGATATTCTTTGCAGCTGATGATGGAAACGCTTTATACAGTCAGCAAAGACAAGACCAGGAGCTGACTACGGCTCAGATCATGAACTCCTTATTGCAAAATTCAGGCTTAAATTAAAGAAAGTACAGAAAACTGCAAGGCCTTTCAGATATGACCTAAAGCAAATCCCTTATGATTATACAGTGGAGGGGATGAATAGATTCAAGGGATTAGATCTGGTAGACAGTTCCTGAAGAATTATGGATGGAGGTTTGTAACACTTACAGGAGGCAGTGACCAAAACCATCCCAAAGAAAAAGAAATGCAAGAAGGCAAAGTGGTTGTCTGAGGTGGCTTTACAAATAGCTGAGGAAAGAAGAGAAGTGAAGTGCAAGGGAGAAAGGGAAAGATACACCCAAATGAATGCAGAGTTCCAGAAAATAACAAGGAGAGATAAGAAAGCCTTCTTCAACGAACAATGCAAAGAAATAGAGGGAAACAACAGAATGGGAAAAACTAGACATCTCTTCAAGAAAACTGGAAATATCAAGGGAGTATTTCATGCAAGGATGGGCATGATTAAGGACAGGAATGGTAAGGACCTAACAGAAGCAGAAGAGATTAAGAAAAGGTGGCAAGAATACAAAGAACTATACAAAAAAGATCTTAATGACTCAGATAACCACAATGATGTGGCCACTCACCTAGAATCAGCTATCCTAGAGTGTGCAGCCAAGTAGGCCTTAGGAAGCATCACTATAAACAAAGCTAGAGGAGGTGATGGAATACCAGCTGAGCTATTTAAAATCCTAAAAGATGATGCCGTGAAAGTGCTGCACTCAAGATGTCAGCAAATTTGGAAAACTCAGCAGTGGCCACAGAACTGAAAAAGGTCAGTTTTCATTCTAATTCCAAAAACAGGCAATGCCAAAGAATGTTCAAATTACTGTACAGCTGTGCTCATTTCACATGCTAGCAAGGTTATGTTCAAAATCCTTCATGCTCGGTTTCAGCAGTATATGAACTGAGAAATCCCAGATGTACAAGCTGGGTTTAGAAAGGCAGAGTTCAAATTGCCAACATTTGTTGGATCATAAAGAAAGCAGGGAATTCCAGAAAAACATCTACTTCTGCTTCATTAAAGCAGACTACATTACTTACTAATTACTTACTACAGACTACATTACTACATTATATTACTAATTACAGCAAACTTCATTGACTACATTAAAGTCTTTTACTGTGTGGATCACAAAAAACTGTAGAAAATTCTTCAAAAGAATTGAATACCAGACCAGCTTATCTGTCTCCTGAGAAACCTATATGCGAGTCAGGAAGCAACAGTTAAGAACCAGACATGGAACAACTGCCTGGTTCAGAATTGGAGAAGGAGTACATCGAGGCAGTATATTGTCACCCAGCTTATTTAATTTATATACACAGAACATCATGTGAAACACTGAGCTGGTTAAATCACAAACTTGAATCAAGACTGCCAGGAGATATATCAACAACCTCAGATATGCAGATAATACCACTCTCATGGAAGAAAGTGAAGAGGAACTAAAGACCCTCTTGATGAAGGTGAAAGAGGAAAGTGAAAAAGATGACTTAAAACTCAATATTCAAAAAAATAAGATCATGGCATCTGGTCCTATCACTTCACAGCAAACAGAACACAAAAAAGTGAAAGCAGTGGCAGGTTTTATTTTCTTGGGCTCCCAAATCACTGCAGATGATGACTGCAGCCATGAAATTAAAAGATGCTTGTTCCTTGGAAGGAAAGCTATGACAAACCTAGACAGCATATCAAAAAGCAGAGACATTACTTTGCCAACAAAGGTCTGTGCTGTCAAAGCTATGGTTTTCCAGTAGTCAAGTATGGTAGAGAATTGGACCATAAAGAAGCCTGAATGCCAAATAATTGATGTTTTCAAAATGTGGTACTGGAGAAGACTCTTGAGAGTCCCTTGGACTGCAAGATCAAACCAGTCAATTGTAAAGGTAATCAACCCTGAATAGTCATCGGAAGGACTGATGCTGAAGCTCCAATATTTTGGGCACCTGATGTGAAGAACTGACTCATTGGAAAAGACCCTGATGCTGGGAAAGATTGAAGGCAAAAGGAGAAGGAGGCTGAAGAGGATGAGATAGTTAGATAGCATCCCTGACTCAATGAACATGAATTTGAGCAAACTACAGGAGACAGTGAAGGACAGGGGAGCCTGGTGTGCAGCAATACATGGGGTCACAAAGAGTCGGACACAACTTAGTGACTGAACAACAATAGCAACAACAGTAAAAAATAAGCCTGAGAAAATAGTGTGGAAAATTCTGAAAAAGAACTTTGATAATGAGTACATACTTTATAAGTATGAAAACTTATTATAAAATACTATAATTGTTATAGGAGACCAACAATTAATGTTCTAGTATATAATAAATCCTATATATATTTGAACAAACCTAATATTTAGAACATGCCTGCTAAGTTGCTTCAGTCGTGTCCAACTCTTTGCGACGCTATGGACCATAGCCCACTAGGGTCTTCTGTTCATGGGATTCTCAAGGAAAGAATACTGGAGTGGGTTGCCATTGCCTTCTCCAGGTGATCTTCCTGACCCAGGGATCAAACCCACGTCTCTTGAGTCTCCTGCATTGGCAAGTGGGTTCTTTACCAGTAGCACCATGTGGGAAGCTCATTTAGAACGTAATATTCAGCAATAAATTCAAATACATAGGGGATGGATTATTCAAAAATACATCAGTGCCACTGGTTAGCTATTTGGATATGGCAAAGCTAGATCTATTCCATGCTTATTATATCCAATTAAACACACACAGATCCATCATTTACATATTAAATAAGAAACCAAATTAACCCAACACAAAGGGGAGGGAGACAAAAAAGGAACTGTAAAAATTGAGTTTGACAACAATAAAAAACTAAAAAACCGATAACTCTCAATAGGTAATGACCCTAAAAATAGATTTAAATGACAAATTTTGCTTTTAAAAATTCATTTAATGAGGTTTATACATTTGATATCAGTAAGACAAGGCCAACACAAGGAAAATAAAATTATAGAACAATCTCTCAGCTATAAACAGTGTGGCAATATCATGTGACTAGCTCTGTAAGACAGGTGCTATTATTTCCATTTTGTTGATGAGGAAAGTGGTGGCAGGCAGGCAGGCAGAATAGCCATCAATAAAAAGTCTACAATTAATAAATGCCAGAAAGGATGTGGGAAAAAAAGAACCCTCTTACACTGTTTGTGGGAATGTAAATTGGTGTGGCCACTAAGGAAATTAGTATGGAGAATCCTTAAAATCCTTTAAAAATAGAATTACCATATGATCCAGCAATCCATTCCTGGGCATATATCCAGACAAAACTATAAATCAAAAAGATACATGCACCTATTGCAACACTATTTACAATCGCCTAAGACATGGAAACAGCCTAAATGTCCATTGATAGATAAAGAAGATATGGTATATATATATAATATATATGTGTGTGTGTGTATATGTGTGTGTGTATACATATACACAACACAGTGGATTACTACTCAGCCATTAAAAAGAAAGTAATAACATTGTCTGCAGGAGCATGGATGGACCTCGAGATTATCATGCTAAGTGAAGTAAGTCAAAGACAAAGATCATATCACTTATATGTGGAATCTAAAATATGACATAAATGAACTTATCTATGAAACAAAAACAGACTCACAAATATAAAGAACAGACTTGTGGTTATTGAGGGGTAGAGGGGCAAGAAGGATTGGGAATCCGGGATTAGCAGATGTGGACTATTTTATCTGTATAGCACATGGAATTATATTCAATATCCTATGATAAACCATAAATGGAAAGGAATTATGAACAAAATATATATGTATAACTGAGTCACTTTGCTATACAGCAAAAATTAAACACAACATTGTAAAATCAACTATACTTCAATAAAATTTGGAAAAAGAAAGTGATGTTGCATAACTTGGCTCCACCAGGCTTAAGGTGGAGCTGGATTTAGTCTCAATTTCCTCCATTCTTTTCTTAATCCTGCCCTTGGAGGGCTCAGGTCGCCTTCCCTCTCACCTTCCACCCCTAAGGGGATTTCTGGAGACCCCTGATTGGAGAGGAACTCACCAGGATGGGCTCCACCAGCTTCCCCTCTGGCATGACTGAGCGGTTCATCTTGGCAATGCGTTCCAGCGTAGCCAGGGCAGCCGGAGTGTTCCCAGTGGAGACATTGAACCGAGCAGACTCAGGAATAAACTGGGCATAGGTGACAAAGAACATCAGAGCTGCAACTGCTGTGGACCCCAGAGATACGGCTATCACAGTTCCATATACTGCACCATCCCAGTTTCTGGAGATGGGAAAGGATGTAGCAAGCTTCACGGCAACAATGCAGCAGGTATACCAGTGCAGTCGTGGTAGAACAAAAAGTCGCCTTCTCCTTCTCATAGTCCTATCTAGGATGACAGTGGATCGATGCCGAGCTTCACGCAGTTTGGCCCAACCTACTTAATACAATGAAACTCTTACGCTCAATCTGGAGCTGCTGCCCAGGGCTCCCTGGTGCCTTTCTGCTGCTCCATCACCCAGGCCCTCCCCAGGAACCCCAGAACTCTCACAGTGCAGGAACCACAGGTGGAGGAACCATCCTGAATGTAGAGGCCTTCGACCCACTGATGGTGGCATACTCTGAACACCACACTCAGAAAATAGCACAGCCTTCCACTGACATGAGGACCTTGAGAATCAACTGGAAGGGCCCCCTGCCCTTGATGCCTCCCCCAGTGAAGACCAGTGGGTTCTTCCTCAGCAAAGCATCTCCCCCAGCAGTATCCTCTTCCCCATTCCCCGGCCAGAAGGCAGTTCAGGTCATCCTCATCACCCACCAGGATTAATCTGATTAATCTAATCTAACTGCTTTTCTGACCTTTTCCATCTTCCCTCCCACCCAGCCTCCACACACCCATGTACCTGTTCCCCAGCACACCACCCCTTCCACACAGCCAGGGCCCCTGGTCCTCCAGGCTATTTGTAACCTGGACACAGGCCTGTCTTTCCAGCTGGCCTCCCCCCAGCACCCCTAACTCTAGAATTCCCTGCCTGCCTGCTCTCCCCCAAACATATCCTGCATATACAGCTTCATGATGGCTTGTGCATTAAATCTGCCAAAATACCCTTTTCACGTAAACTGACGGAGACAGATACTTAAATAAAGGAGAAAGGTCCTGGACATGAGAAAGATATCTGTGGGCCAAGAAGGCCACATTGCCAAGCAGAGGGGAGGGCAAGAGGGAGCCCATGAGCTTGGTCACCTTGAAGGCCATGATGAGGATGATGCCAGGGATGGAGGCAATGCGGATAAGCCAGCGCCACCCGATGGTGGGGACGACCACAGAGGCCAGGCCAATGATGAGCAGGGAGCCGGCCAACCAGAAAACCTGGGGGAGAGAAGGAAGGTTAAAGCCCTCCTATTTTCCAATAGTCACATGTGGATGTAAGAGTTGGACTATAAAGAAACCTGAGAGCCAAAGAATAGATGCTTTTGAACTGTGGTGTTGGAGAAGACTCTTGAGAGTCCCTTGGACAGCAAGGAGAGCCAACCAGTCCATCCTAAAGGAGATCAGTCCTGAATATTCACTGGAAGGACTGAAGCTGAAACTCCAATACTTTGGCCACCTGATGCGAAGAACTGACTCATTGGAGAAGACCCTGATGCTGGGAAAGATTGAGGGCAGGAGGAGAGGGGATGAGAGAGGATGAGATGGTTGGATGGCATCTCTGACTCAATGGACATGGGTTTGGGTGGACTTTGGGAGTTGGTGATGGACAGGGAGGCTTGGTGCGCTGCAGTCCGTGGGGTCACAAAGAGTCAAACACAACTGAGCAACTGAACTGAACTGACTGAATGCACTCCACACCCCTACTCCAGGAGTGCCCCGTCCTGCGTTGTAAGAGGGTGAGACCGGGCAGAGTCGTTGACTGAGGAGCCGCCCCACCTCCAGGCCTGGATGAGCTGGAGGAGCTACTTCACTTCTCCATGACCCCATTTGCTTGTCTACAGGTGGGAGGCTTGGCAAGACAGGGGACAGCAATGCCATCAAAGTTTAAAAACACCTCGGGCCCAAGACATAAACTTTCTTTTCTTGAATAAAAAATATAGCCACTGGCTCGTAACTCAAGGTGCAAAGGAGAGCTGTGAATGGATTGCTCTTTTTTCTCAGCTTCCTTCCATCCAGTACCTCTTCTCAGAAGAAACCAGTATCACCAGTTTCTTCCATCCTTCCGAAGCTGTTCTAAATGTACACAAGCTAATGAGGATATGTTTTGTTCCTTGCTTAAAATGGTAATGTAGTATAAATATTTCTCAATACTGCTTTCTGTCCTGAAAAATTTATCTTGAGATTATTTTATATCAACAAAGAACATGGCAGCCACCCTCATGAGTTGGGAATTAAAACAATTCCGAGTGTTATTGTGACCATTATTTTCCCAGTGGAAGATGAAGAATAGATGATAATTCCGTTCCACCTTACAGAGATGGAGAGAAGATAATATTTTAAAAGACCCTTTGCAGGGCTACTTACAGGGTAACTATTTCATCACCAAGGAAGTTTATTTTTAGAACAACAAGAATATTTCAGAAAGTGGAAAGAGCTATGAGAAAAAGAAGTGACTTGCGTGATCTGGGATGATCTTTCTGAAGAAGCAATTGTAAGAAGGCCAGTAAGAAGCTACTGTAGCAGACCGGGTAACAGGATATGTGGCACTGAAAAGGATTTTAGTAGTGAAATGATAAGAAGAAAAATTTTTTTTTCTGTTTGATGGATTTGGCACATATTTTGGAGGTAAAGGCAATAGGATTTGCTGTTAGACACTGCACCAGGGCTTCCATAGTGGCTCAGTGGTAAAGAATCTGCCTGCTGATACAGGAGATGCAGGTTCAATCCCTGGGTCAGGAAGATACCCTGGAGTAGGAAATGGCAACCCATTCCAGTAATCTTGCCTGGAAAATTCCATGGACAGGGGACCCTAGTGGGCCACAGTCCATGGGGTTGCAAAGAGTAAGACACAACCGGGTGACTAAGCACAAACACACTACCCTAATAGGAGATGAATCAGTGGGGCTTTGTGATTGATTGAATGGAGGCGAGGGGAAGGGAGGGGTTCAGGTCAGCTCTTGAGTGTGTGGCTCAGACAACTGAGGGGACAGTGTTTGCTGGCAGTGGAAATACAGACATAAAAGACTCCAGAGGAGGAGCAGAGATTAGGTCTATGAATGTTGTATATATTTGAGGAGCCTGCAGGATATTCAAGAGACTATCAGGTAACTGACTACCTGGGTCTGAAGTTCAAGAAGATGCTCTTGGCTGTAGATAAGTATTTTGGGGGGGGGGGGGGCGCTGTGGAAAGAAACATATTGGGTTGCACAGAAAGTTTGGTTTTCCCCTTGAGATGTATGGAAAACCCAAAAGAACTTTTTGGCCAGCCCATTAGCCACCTAAGATCATTGGATTCATCAATTAGATGACCCCAGAAGACCTGAAAAATAAAACCAGCAATGAGAAGATAAAACCATGTCATGACATGGGATCATAACAAAAGTGAGTTGTAGATGGAAGAGAAAATGTTCACAGATGAGCCTGAACCAGATCATGTCTATTAAATAACATTAAGTGTAAAACCCAACCCCTAACTATTGAAAGTGTGGGCATTTATCTTGACAAAGATAAGAAGAAAACTGGGAGGGATATAAAGACAGCATTTGGTTGCCTACTTTTTTTGTTGTTGTTGTCTAAATTTAGTGTCAGAAAAATTAAAAATACAATTTTAAATATTCTCCTACTGTTTTATTCATTGCCAAATATATTAATATATTCTTCGGCAGGAAGTGTCATCACCTTCCAGGGTCCTTTGAAAGTCAGGGCTTTAGGACGATGATGACATCAAAGATGGTACAAGGGCACCTAGACTGATGGAGCTTCACATGCAAAACCTCTAGTCAGTAGCCAGCAGGGGTCTGAGGCGGGGTGGGAAGCATCCTCATCTTCTCACCTAGAGAAGCGGCTCAGCTGGGAGGAGGCTATTACAAAAGTGCTCACAGGCACAGGCCAGTTATGGACACTACCGTCCACAGGGAGACTCTGTGCCTCCACTGAAGACTCAGTGGGGAGAGAATGTTCATCGCAGATGCATTCCTGAGCGACTGTCATTCTAGTGAAACCAGCCAGTGGACTGTATCCTGAGGAAGGGGTTACTGTGCTCTAAATGCTGCTGGATGATAGAAGTCCTAGCTCGGAACGCCTTGGAATCGACCTCTATGGTCAAGCATCCCTAAAGCTCTTTGGCTGGTACCAAGTAACAGGAGTGTGCTGATCAAAGGATCATTAACTGACCAGGAGAAAAACCATCTACACCATACTGTACAGGATCCAAAGACTCGGTAGAATTTGTCTTAACTCACCTGAGACAAGGGGAGCATGTAGCCTCGATATTTTGTAGGCAAGAATTCAGTCTTTATGATTAGCCTAAACAGGAAGGGGGAAAACACAATTATGCTTTTATAAAACCAAATAACTCTTCTTATAAAACAGTCATTGGACTTCCCTGGTGGCACAGTGGATGAGAATCTGCCTGCCAATGCAGGGGACACAGGTTCGATCCCTGGTCCAGGAAGATTCCACATGCCATGGGGCGACTATGCCCACATGCCACAACTACTGCATTCCTAGAGCCCATGCTCTGCAACTCAAGAAGCCACCACAGTGAGAAGCCCAAGCACCGCAACAAACAGTGGTCCCTGCTCACAACTAGAGAAAGCCTGCACAAAGCAATGAAGACCCAGCACAGCCAAAAATAAATAAACTTTTCTAAAAAAAAAAAAATTCATAATTTTTCTTGTTTCTTTGATAAAGAATTCAGAAAAAAAATTCATCACTGTAAAATGATAAGAAATACATATGTTGGTCTCTGTCCCTGAAAGTGAAAGATGCTCAGTCATATCCAACTCTTTGCAACCCCATGGGTGGTAGCCCGCCAGGCTCCTCTGTCTGTGGGGTTCTCAGGCAAGAATGCTGGAGTGGGTTGCTATGCCCTCCTCCAGGGGATCTTCCTGACCCAGGCCTTCCGAGATGCAGGCAGATTGTTTACTGTCTGAGCCGCCAGGGAAGCCCTGGTGGCGGTTTAGTCACTAAGTCGTGTCCAACCCTTGCAACCCCAGGAACTGTAGCCCACCAGGCTCCTCTCTCCATGGGATTCTCCAGGCAAGAATACTGGAATGGGTCACCATTTCCTCCTCCAGGGGATCTTCCGGACTCAGCAATGGAACCCAGGTCTCCTGCAATGCAGGCAGATTCTTTAGCAACTGAACTACAAGGGAAGCCCCTGGGAAGCCCTGGTTCCTGCTAATATTTGGTCTTTGACACCAGTCCCTGACACAGAGTTCCTGAAAACCTTGGGATTCCCTGGATGATAGGAGCATCATTTATTCTAAGGAGGTGATGCTTGATGCATCCTGGATGGTGGCTGGTCTTCAAACACTAAGCCATGATTAGAATTTTGGAACTTTCAGCCCTATCCCCCCTCCTCTGGAGAGAAGAGAGGGGCTGGAAAACAAATTAATAATCAATCACGCCTACATGAGGAAGCCTCCATAAAAATCCGTTAACAAATAAGGTTCAGAGAGCTTCCAGGCTGGTGAACACAGCTATGTCCTAGGAGCGTTGTCCAGTTGCTAAGTTGTATTCAACTCTTTGCGACCCCAAGAAATGTAGCACGCCAGACTCCTGTTTCCTTTACTGTCTCACAGAATTCTCTCAGATTCATGTCCATTGATTTGATGACGCTATCTAACCATCACAAGAGAAGACTCTACACATGGACATCACCAGTGCTCAAAACCGAAATCACATTGATTATATTCATTGCCAGCAAAGATGGAGAAGTTCTATACAGTCAGCAAAAACAAGACCAGGAGCTGACTGTGGCTCAGATCATGAACTCCTTATTGCCAAATTCAGACTTAAATTGAAGAAATTGGGGAAAACCACTAGGCCATTCAGGTATGACCTAAATCAAACACCTTACAATTATACAGTGGAAATGAGAAATAGATTTAAGGGACTAGATCTGATAAACAGATACCTGATGAACTATGGACAGAGGTTCATGACATTGTATGGACACAGGGATCAAGATCATCCCCAAGAAAAATAAATGCAAAAAAGCAATATGGCTGTCAGAGGAGGCCTTACAAATATCTGTGAAAAGAAGAGAAATGAAAAACAAAGGAGAAAAGGAAAGATATACCCATGTGAATGCAGAGTTCCAAAGAATAGCAAGGAGAGATAAGAAAGCCTTCCTCAATGATCAGTACAAAGAAATAGAGGAAAACAATGGAATGGGAAAGACTAGAGATCTCTTCAAGAAAATTAGAGATACCAAGAGAAATTTTCATGCAAAGATGGGCACAATAAAGGATAGAAATGGTATGGACCTAACAAAGCAGAAAATGCTAAGAAGAGGTGGCAAGAATATACAGCAGAACAGTACAAAAAAGATCTTCATGACCCAGCTAATCACAATGGTATGATCACTCACTTAGAGCCAGACATCCTGGAATGTGAAGTCAAGTGGGCCTTAGGAAGCATCACTACGAACAAAGCTAGTGGAAGTGATGGAATTCCAGTGGAGCTATTTCAAATCCTGAAAGATGATGTTGTGAAAGTGCTGAACTCAATATGCTAGCAAATTTGGAAAACTCAGCAGTGGCCACAGGACTGGAAAAGGTCAGTTTTCATTCCAATCCCTAAAAAAGGAAATGCCAAAGGATGCTCAAACTACTGCATAATTGCACTCATCTCACATGCCAGCAAAGTAATGCTCAAAATTCTGCAAGCCACGCTTCAACAGTACATGAACCGTGAACTTCCAGATGTTCAAGCTGGTTTTACAAAAGGAAGAGGAACCAGAGATCAAATTGCCAACATCTGCTGGATCATTGAAAAAGCAAGAAGAGTTTCAGAAAAACATCTACTTCTGCTTTATTGACAACGCCAAAGCCTTCGACTGTGTGGATCACAACAAACTTTGTAAAATTATCCAAAAGATAGGAATACCAGACCACCTTACCTGCCTCCTGAGATATCTGCATGTGGGTCAGGAAGCAACAGTTAGAACTGGACATGGACCAACAGACTGGTTCCAAATAGGAAAAGGAGTGCGTCAAGGCTGTATATTGTCACCCTGTTTATTTAACTTATATGCAGAGTACATCATGAGAAATGCTGGGCTGGATGAAGCACAAGCTGGAATCAAGACTGCTGGAATAAATATCGATAACCTCAGATATGCAGATGACACCACCCTTACGGCAGAAAATGAAGAACTAAAAAGCCACTTGATGAAAGTGAAAGAGGAGAGTGAAAAAGTTGGCTTAAAGCTCAACATTCAGAAAACTAAGATCATGGCATCTGGTCCCATCACTTCATGGCAAATAGATGGGAAACAGTGTCAGACTTTATTTGGGGGGGCGGGGGGTGGCGGGGCTCCAAAATCACCGCAGATGGTGACTACAGCCATGAAATTAAAAGATGCTTACTCCTTGGAAGGAAAGTTATGACCAACCTAGAAAGCATATTAAAAAGCAGAGACATTACTTTGCCAACAAAGTCCTGTCTAGTCAAAGCTATGGTTTTTCCAGTAGTCATGTATGGATGTGAAAGTTGGACTATAAAGAAAGCTAAGAAAATTAAGTCTGTCACTATTTCCATTGTTTCCCCATCTATTTGCCATGAAGTGATGGGACCAGATGCCATGATCTTCATTTCTTGAATATTGAGTTTTAAGCTAGCTTTTTCACTCTCCTCTTTCACCTTCATCAAGTGGCTCTTTAGTTCCTCTTCACTTTCTGCCATTAGGATGTTGTCATCTGTCTATCTGAGGTTATCACTATTTCTCCTGGCAATCTTGATTCCAGCTTGAGCTTCATCCAGCCGGGCATTTCGCACTGCGTACTCTGAATATAAGTCAAATAAGGAGTGTTTTGGGACTGAGCCCTAAGCCTGTCAGGTCCACACTAACCTCAGTGAGGGTCAGAACTGAATGTTGATGTTCTGATGTTGGAGGACACCCAGCTGATGTTGCAGGATTTGCTGGTGTGTAAAAACAAATCCACGCATTTGGTGTCAGCAGTATCGTATTTAAGTATTGAGTATGTAAAGAGAAACAGAAGCTTTCCCTATGCAATCATACACTAAAATATAATCATTAACCCATAAAAGAAAACAATAAAAAATAAACTTCTAAGTGCTCTTCTGTTTACATTTTTTATTCCCAAAGTTATTTGAAGCCTTCTACCATTTAAGAGATATTAGCCCTATTTCTTTCACCAAGAGAAAGACACACTAGCAAAATGTTTTGTCAAGCCTAATTCTCTTTACCAAAACATATGTGGGAAATTAAAATACACCCAAGAGAAGGTAAATAGTTTTTCCAACCAATGATGACAGTCAAAGCACAGGTTTCTAATTAAGTCCATATTAATTTTTTGAACAGCAGAATAAACGGACTTCCAACCCATCCATTTTCTAATTGTTCTTCTCTGTTGCCGTTATTAACCAGGGTATGGAGTTTCAACATATTTATTGAGCTGCTTCCTAAGGGATGTTTTCAAATTCTACTTCTACTCCATTAGGGTGCCAGAGCTCAGAGTGATGTTTAACTTATCCTCTAGGGAAGAACAATTCTTTCTCTAAACCATTAGGGTAATAATTAGGTGCTTTGACTTCTCCTAATATATTCTAAGGGCAACTTGCTGCAAGGCACGCAGGAGAGAATAGCTGGAGGAGCCTTGTTAATTAAATGGAGGCTTCCAAGTTGTTGAACAACTTTCACACCCTGCATGATGAGACATTACACAACTAACCGAGGGCAGAGACAAAGCCAGCAGCAGCCCAGCTGTTTCAATATGTCTCACCTGCTTTGCAAACTCACTTTGCAATGGTCTTCGGTTACAGGCACTTTAAAATGGTTATTCCTGAGTGTTACAGTGGCTTATGGTCAAACTAAAGTCTCCCAGAAATTCTCAAGAAATTGTGTTTGGGTCGAAAGGAAGTGAAACTGTGTTTGGCTTGACATCATTTTTGCTACCTACTTTGTATGGCCCTTTTTCTTCGCAGTTAGTCTCACAAAATATTATTTATCTAAAAAAAATGCTCATCAGCCTTAGGAACAAGGAAATTAACACATCCTCAATCTAACACCCTGCTAGCCTCACCATCAAACATCATTTTCAAGGGCAAAGAATTTCCAGTGGGATAAGCAGCCATCACCAGAGGGGAAAAAAACTCAAAAAAGATTAGTACAAGTGAAGTCTATACATTTGCAACCTACTGATGCTCTTAGTCTCTTAACCACAGTGAATGTGACTATGGGTTTTCATAATATCTCCCTCGGGGGGCCTTTAGTTAAAATCTTTACCCTTGTGAATGGCCAGACACGCCACAGCCCACCATGGTCCGCAGGAAGACAAACCAGATGTACGATGGAGAGAATGAAGTCAGCAAGGAGAAGTAAGCTCCCCACAGGAACGAGATGAACAAAATCTGAAGCAACAAAAGGAGACGTTAATGGGATCTGCTCCCATGGAAGGGCAGGAAGAAACTTAACTTCTGAAGGTGATTTTTAATTTCATCAGATGTTTGCTTCTCTGTGGAGCTAATCTTTAGAGAACTCGCTAATCTCTCATAATCATCAGAAAATATAATCCATATCATTTTATTGTCTGAAAGCCCCAACGTTTTAAGTTTAGACCACTTGTCAAAACTCGTTCAAGGTGTCCACCCTCATAGGTGGAAATTGAACGTGTAAACCAGGACGGAAAACTCACCCTCCCAGCAAACAGGGATGGCAGGATCAGGGCAAAACATGAGTATGAGAATATAAGCAGAATGAGTATAGGGAGAAATTTTAAGGGATTTGCTTCTTTTGTAATTATAAGAATAATACAAGTTTATAGCAGAAGATATGGAAAAAAGAAAAGATATAAAAATACTTAAATCACTTTTGCTTCTCCAATCCAGACAAAATACTATTAACATAGTTTTATCCTATTTTCACTGCTTCTAAGGGAAAATATATCCTTAATAGTTGCAAAATATTCCAGTGAAAAGACATACCATAACACACATAATATAATGAAATGCATAAACCTTTCCCCTACATTGACTGTTGAAATGGTTTTATATTTTCTATTAAAATCAGCTGAGAAACACTGTGCATAAATCTTTGGGGTTCTCTGATGATCTAAATAAAATAGATTTCTGGAAGGTGAACTGTCAGACAGGGAGATTGGGTATTCTCAAGGTTCCTGGTTTATGCTGCCAAATTGATGGTCAGAAAAATTATATCAATTGTACATGAGGATGTCTGGACACTTGCAGTGTTCTTCAAGAAAAAGAAAAATTCCTTATGAACCTGACGATTTGGTCAAACCTTATGGCTTTGACAATGAAAAAAATTATCTCGCTATGTAATTTTGCTTCTGATAACTCCTGTGACTGAACGCTTTTCAAGGTTTCTTGACAATTTGTATGTCTCCTTTTTTAAAATGCCTTTTTGTGCTCTCTACATTTTTTTTTTGCAAAACTTGTGTTTTCATATTCACTTGTCAAAATCTGATATTTTGTGCACTTTGAAACACACATCCAAGCCTATGTCTGTCTTCATTTGTATTTACACCTAGAGAGGTCTTCCCCACCAAATATCAGACAAGATAGGTAGATCTGGGTTTATCATCAGAAAACATAGTTCTGTGTCTCGATGTTGAATCTCAGTATGTGTGACATCAAGCAAGTGGGTTAGTTTCAAAGCTATACCCAAGTTAACTAATGCGAAACTGCTTGTGTTTACACATGTTTATACATGCAGTCCCCACATTCTGTCTGCTGTGTTCTAACTACGCACATCCATCAGCTGCACCTGGAGTACAAGGATCAGCTGCTGGGACAAGAGTCTCGGGGAAAGATGACAAAGCTAAAAGACAAGGTGTCATAGAAGGACATTTCCATATTCTCTCACTAGGGTATTGATAGAAAAATGTCCATGAAGGAAAAGCTGTGGTAGGACTTCCCTGGACATCTAGTGATTTAAGACTTCAAGCTCCCAATGCAGGGGGCCCTGGTTTCATTCTGGGTCAGGGAACTAGATCCCATACGCTGCCACCAAGAGTTCACACACTGCAACTAAAGATCCTACACACCACAATGAAGATCAAAGATTCTGTGTGTCCCAACTAAGACCTGCTGCAGCCAAATAAATAAATACCAAAAAAAAAAAAAAACAACCCACAAGAAAAACAGTGGTCACATCACCACAAAAGAACACACAAAAGAACATTCCAGATCACCCTTTAAAGCCAGCCTACCTTCCAGCGGCCGTATCTGTCAGCCAAGAGGCCAAAGAGGATGCTGAATACCATGTAGCCAAAAAACACCATCTGGAGGTGGATTGAGAAGAAGTTATCCTCTAAGCAGCATTTTTACAATATGCTAATTTACCACATTAAGCATTCATCCGTCTAAACAAAGAAGACTGGAAATGTGGGTGGGGTTGGAAGTTGAAAAATAGGCTTTCACAAAACTCTCCCCTGACTCCTTTTTAAGATGTCAGAGGTTGATGATTTCCACCCCTGAAATCGTTGACACCAGGTAGAAGCAGGGGTCCTAGAAAAAAAGAGCATTTCTTCCACAGGGAACTAATTTTTAAAAAAAATCGTATTTATACTTGAACCACAAAAGCCATCCTTTTCTTCTGTGCACTGTTCTTTCTAGGACATGACTGAAGGAGGGAAAAGGCAATGTTTTCAATGCCAAGCCTGGGACGGATGCCATACCATAACGAAATCTAATCCTCAGCAAAATGGTAGAAATGAAAACAATGTGACACATTTTGCATAAATCCAAGTTTATTAAGTATGAAGGGCTCTTGTTCTGGCATAATTTTCTTTCTGATAATTGGTATTCACATGGCCTTTCTTTTTTTGAAAGATGATGATAGTTGATGGCAAGATTTTCTGCCTCTTGTTGGGGGGTTAAAATTTTCCCTCTACCCTTCTATACTCTTTGGCTGGTCCAATAATTAAATTGATTTAAGATAAATTGACACAATGAGGGGCTTCCCAGGTGGCGCTAGTGGTAAAGAACCCACTTGTTAATGCAGGAGATGTAAGAGACACAGGTTCGATCCCTGAGTTGGGAAGATCCCCTGGGGGAGGGCATGGAAAACCATTCCAGGGTTCTTTTTTTTTTCTTCCCTACTCCAATATTCTTGCCTGGAGAATCAAGTGGACAGAGGAGCCTGGTGGGCTATAGTCCATAGGGTGGCAAAGAGTCGGACACAACTGAAGCGACTTAGCATGCAAGGCAGATTGAGAGGAGAAAAGCAAGTTTAATTTTGTACATAAAAGAATCCCATAAAAATATACGACCCAAGGGCACATTGGACAGTTGAGGCTTATACGCCACTTTGAGCTGAGGGACAGGAGGGCGCCTGGGACTTCAAAGGGGAGGAAAGTCATTCACAGGACAATGAGAAGAACAGATGTCTGGTAATTAGATGTCTGCACTGCCACATGGATAGGTCATTCAGATGAAAGTTATCTCTGGCAATAACTCTTTGTCTCTGAGAGCCAGGCCCCCTATCTAAATTCTTTATGTAGTTAAGGGAAATGTAAAAGTTTCTCTTGAGTCTGCTTGGTCTCAGGTGCCTTCAGCTCAAAATAATCCACATGCCAAAGCGATGTACTTTGGGGTCACACATTGTGCTCCCTTTTGGTTGTTGTTATTCAGTTGTGATGTCGTGTCCACACTTCTGCGACTTTATGGGCTGTAGCCTGCCAGGCTCCTCTGTCCAACGGTTTTCCCAGACAAAAATACTAAAGTAGGTAGACATTCCCTTCTCCAGGTAATCTTCCCAGCCCAGGGATCAAACCCATGTCTCCTTCATGGGCAGGCAGATTCTTTAGCATCTGAGCCACCAGGGAAGCCCCTGCTCCCTTTTACTCTTCTTCTAAAGGCCTTCCTTGTCAAATATGTATCTCTTTCAATGTCAACTCTAGGTCAGCCACTTGATTTTTTTTTAAACTCTTATCAGTTTGTGAATCCCCAAATTTGGCCAAGGCTCACTTTCTCTGATTTGTCTCTCTTCCGGGCTCCTGCTAGGGTCTGGAAAATGAGCAGTTCAAGGTTATCTCCCTAGAGGAAAAGAGAAGAGGGAGAAAGGCCTCAAATGCTAGTTTGAGAACCAAAACAGCAGGTGGAGAAGGATTCCGTGGCCCTCCGCCAGGGGAACGAGGGAGGGTAGCGGAAACCCTGGGGCCTCAGCTGCTTCATTCTCGGCACAGGAAGTGGGCACTCACCGTGGTCACTAATGCCACCTGCCAGTTCTCCAGCTGCCATTCACAGCGGATGACAGGAGACACAACCGCTATTAACATGATCTCCATGGCCTCAGCAACCTCAAAAAGAAGGAAGGAAAACACGGTGTCCAAGTGCGGGCCTGTTGTCCCTGCTTCCCATGTCTGCCTGTCATCCTTCCAGTCCTAACCTCCTCCTTCCTGCCCCCCACTTAAGGAGGATCTACCTGTTACATACCCACTCAGTCCTGCTAGTTGGATAAAGAAGCACAGAACAACTTTGGTTTTCATGGATGTAACATTTATGGTTTGAACAATTTTGAGAGGGTCCCTCAAGATTTATGACATGTATTCCCTTGTGATGTTTCATGTTTTTGCATTTAACACTACGAGGATGTTATGTGGGGGTCATTTATTTGGCAGCTGACCCAAGTTATTCACCAGCATCTACATCAGCCCAACACTGCTGTCCTATACTTGTCATCCTCAAGATCTCAGGGTGTATCCTTTGCAAATGGATTGTTGAAATAGTCCCTGATTTCAAGAGGCTGCAATGGGGAGGCAAGATTCATGAAAGTTAGAAAATAAGCAATGAATACAAAATAATAAGAGCTCATCATCAGGAAAGAATGACTGTTAAGTAAAATTAGTGTAAGATGTACCACTAAATATTTATATTTTCTATTGAAAAAAATATCCTCCTCTGTCCATATCTTGTAGTTTATTCCAGGATGAGTTTATCTCCCAGGGAAAGGAAGAAGTAAATATTAGATGATAGAAATTCAACGCAATAATGAACAAGGAAGATTCCAAGATCATTCTGAGGTTTTCTGCCTGGAGGAACAGATGAATAATGATATCATTGACAGGGTCTGAAGGACATTAAAAGAAAAAGGGGAAATTAAAGGGAGGGAAAGGTGCATTTGTTTGAGACACATTCTATGAATAACAACAGAATATTTGTATGGGGTGTTTATTATGGTACTTCTTGTATTTGTGTAACTTGAAGGTCTGAGATGAAACAGTCATGGCTAATGTTAGCTAATATGTGGGAATTTGAAATATATCATAATGGCTCATCTCTCCTTGGAGAGTATTATAGTCATGTTTAGAATTCAAATAGTTGGTACTTTTTAGTCCAAAAAATATCATGTGTAAGAAGTGACCTGATGATCTCAGAAGAATACTTATATATTAAACTCACCTAGAGCAGTTAGGTCAGTATTAATCTGGACTCCACTCCTCTCAAGAGTCTTAGAAGGAAATAAGTCGATTAGGGATAAGGCTCTGTCCCACTCTGATTTAACAGCCTTATGGGAGAAGGACCAGCCAGAAGCTAGGGGCAGTCGTGGAGGAGCAGCACTGCAAAAGACCGCTGAAGACCTTGGAGGCGTCTGAGGCCTCGGAGTCCTTGTCAGACTGCGACTGCCGTGATGCGGCTACACACACAGCCCAGACACGTGGGGCCTGAACTCCGGCTACCTTCAGTGGCACCACAAGCCTGCAGGGGTGCCAGCTGCGGGGTCAGTGAATCTGTAACTACAACAGGTATCCAGGTGATAGTTACGCGTAAACTGTTAACCACGTGTCTCATCTGACTTAGAATTAGTCAAACTCTTCCCAGTGTTTCAATTTAAACCTTTTTTTGAAAAATGAGTATTGACAAATGAACTTATTTACAAAACAGAAATAGACTCCTGACATAGAAAATAAACTTAGGGTTACCAGAAGGGAAAGGGCAGGGGAGGGATAAATTAGAAGTCTGGGATTAACAGATACACACTCCTATATCCAACTATAAATCAGCTCTAAGCACTCACCCCCGTGCTGCCCATGATCAGAAACAGGGCAATGTGGAAGCGTCCGAATCCGATGGTCTCCACAGCTTCTTCCACAGTGAATGTCTTTGACTCTAACAAGGAAAAACAGAGTGAAAGGAACAGCCTCTGTGGGGAGGCAAGGTGTGTGGATCATCGTTCACTCTGGAGGATGTTGGAAAACCAGTTTGTTGCTATAAAAATAGTGAATACAGAGAAGAGGAGGGATTCAACAGTAACTTGAGGACCAGAGGCTTCTGTGGTCCCCTTACCTCTCGACTGTGGCTCTGAGGCCCCGAGGCTCAGCTCCCGGAGGCTAATGACGGTGACTGGCTCTGTCTGCTTGGCTGACATCTTTCAAACAGTTGGGATTCCCCACACAGCTTTCCTACAGGAGACAGGAGAGGGGAGATGCAGGAACCTGGGGAAGGAAGAAGGATAGAAATAAAATCGAGTGCATATTCTCCTTTAATCTTCATCAAAAACCAGTGCAGTAGGTATTGTGATTTATCACCATTTTACAAGTGAAAATCCTGCAACATGGAGAAGTTAAATCATGAAGAGGCCGAATGGCCAAATGAAAGAAGACTCCTAGAAGCTAGAAACCAACACTGAGTCGGGGCCAGGCGAGCTCTTGACAGTTTAACCAAGTGTTCTCGGACTGGGAATGAGGATGGGCAGAGAAATAATCACAATAGCCAATGCTTTATTGCTCCATAAATGCTATGGTTTACAGTATGATCAGATATTATAGTGTTCTTTCTCACCTTATTTTCATTTAATTCTGACAGAAACCCATAGATTTTCTTTTTATCCCTTCTACCTTGGGTAAGCGTCTGCCTGCAATGCAGGAGACATGGGTTCGATCCCTGGGTCGGGAAGATCCCCTGGAGAAGGAAATGGCAACCCACTCCAGTATTCTTGCCTGGAGAATCCCATGGATGGAGGAGCCTGGTGGGCTACAGTCCACGGGGTCACAGAGTCGGACACGACTGAGCGACTTAACTAATTTTCACCTTGGGTATTTAATCCTTAAAAAAAAAACAAAAACTTAACCCTAAACATCAAAACAAGAATAACAAGGAAAGCTGAAATTAGCGGAAAAAATTTTTAAATAGGTTTATAATGGTAATATCATTCTACACCCCTGGTAGAATAAACAGATTCCCTAATCTATTCTCACTAATTATACTGTTAGCAATAATATTGGTATCATTATTTTGATACAAGTACATATTGTAGGATAAAGCAGTTATGTTACTCTTATTAGGAACCAAGATTTCAGTGTAAGAGAAAGAATATACAAAAATCAAAAGTTATGTGAACACTTTACATTCTAATTTTGAATTGGAAATATCAATGAATTCATTATGTATTATAGATACATATATATATACATACACACACGTATATATTTAAAGAAGAAAAATTGCTGCAAAGAATTAAAGCCCAGAGATATCAAAATCCATTGTTCATAGGATTGCTAAAATGGTTATCTCACTGATCATCTTTGGAGAATACTAAGAAAACAACTCATTCTGAAAACTAGTAAGTATCTTGCCTTTCTTGTACAGATTGTATTTTAGAGTAACCAGTCTGTGAAACAAAAGTATTCTTTCATTTCAGCTAAAACATACATAAAGGATGGAATTAAAGTTCATGATTTTGCAACTCCTAACAAAATAAAGGATCCAAGTAATGATCATCAATGGCTGATAAACTAGGTTAAAAGCTGATAGAGAACTTTATTCAAACAGATAAGACTAGTAACACCCCTGACCCCATTGATGCTGGCCCCTCATGCCACTAAAGATGATCAGATGCAACATGGCTCCTGATGAGATGCATGAGGAAGGATATACAACATCACCTGTGATGTAGTCTCATGAAAAGAAACTGAACGTGGGTCTGACTGAGCCTCTAGCTCTACCTACCATTTTATACTTCCTGTAGCTCGAATGGTCAGGAATCTGCCTGCGATACAGGAAAGCAGAGTTTGATCCCTGGTTTGGAAGATCCCCTGGAGAAGGGAATGGCAATCCACTCCAGTATTCTTGTCTGGACAAGTCCATGGACAGAGGAGCCTGGCAGGCTACAGTCAGCAGGGTCACAAGGAGTCGGACACAACTGAGCAACTAACACACATACATCATTTCATACAAAGGATGAAGAAACAACGCTAAACTACACAGTTCAGTTCAGTCGCTCAGTCGTGTCCGACTCTTTGCGACCTCATGAGCTGCAGCACACCAGGCCTCCCTGTCCATCACCAACTCCCGAAATCCACCCAAACCAATGTCCATCGAGTCAAAGATGTCATCCAACAATCTCATCCCCTGTTGTCCCCTTCTCCTCCTTCCCTCAATCTTTCCCAGCATCAGGGTCTTTTCCAATGAGTCAGCTCTTCACATCAGGTGGCCAAAGTATTGGAGTTTCAGCTTCAACATCAGTGCTTCCAATGAACACCCAGGACTGATTTCCTTTAGGATGGACTGATTGGATTTCCTTGCAGTCCAAGGGACTCTCAAGAGTCTTCTCCAACACCACAATTCAAAGCATAAATTCTTCGGCACTCAGCTTTCTTTATAGTCCAACTCTCACATCCATACATGACCACTGGAAAAACCATAGCCTTGACTAGACAGACCTTTGTTGGCAAACTAATGTCTCTGCTTTTTAATATGCTGTCTAGGTTGGTCATAACTTTCCTTCCAAGGAGTAAGTGTCTTTTAATTTCATCGCTGCAAACTACACAACATGGATACAAAAAGAAAAATCCAAAATGTGAGAAGATCTACAGGTTAATGACTCAACTTCTTCAATAAATAAATGGAAAGAAAAAAAGAGGAGAGGAGAACGGATTGACTAACAGAAAAGAGACAAACCAACCAAATAAATGAGTTAATTTGCCCAGATCTTCAGTCAAACAAATCAATTATAAAACAACAAGAGAATGAGATGACAAAGAAGACAGAAAATCAGGGAAATTTAAGAAAGTTTGGAAGTTTGATGATATTAAAGAATTAGTGATGACATCATTAGGTGGGACAATGACATTATGGCTGTGGTAGAAAAAATCCTTATATTTTAGAGATATATGCTAAAATGTTTACAGATACAACAATGTTTGGGATTTCTTTTAAAATAATTCAATGGTGGGTTAGGAACAGAGTGCAGAAGGGGTGGGTGTGTAGATGAAAAAAGAATGGCCTTATAGTAAAAATTATTTAAGGAGGGTAGTGGGTACATTGGGGTTTGACTGTCCTCCGCTGTTGCAGATGTGTAACATTTTTCAAAATACATAGTTCCAAAAAGGAGGTTCTGAGATTTGTATGTAACTTTCCCAATATCAGACCACTAGTAAGTAGCAGAAGCAGAGCTCAAAGATCCCCTTTTCCCAGAACATAAATATCTGCAGAGCAGCTGCCAAGGAGCAAGTCAAGGTCCTCAGTGTTTGCCAAGTGCCATCCCTGTGTCTTTGCGTGGGCTCCTGTGGAGGGTCTGTAGGAGCCTCTGACACATCCCCTGCCCTAAGGAGCTCTTAATCTAGCTGGGGACACCAAAGATACACACAAAAGCAACCACACTATAAAGTAGATATTATTTGTTTCCTTAAAACTCTGTCACAGACACAGAAATATTCCAGATGGAAGAGAAATCAATAATGCTCAGAAATGAGTTCGTGAAATCCTCTCTCCCAAAGGAGATCATGAAAAGTACAAAAGGCCGCTATTTTCACAGAGTGGAAAAAGTAAAAATAATTGGTCTCTTGGACCATATGAGAGACTGAAATTTACAAAGATGGAATGTTCCAGAAATACCTAATGCTCTCTTTCCAACTGTTGTCCAAATACCTTTTGGAGGGGTGTTCTTTGCCTGGTAACTTTTAAAATATTTATGAGAAAAATCACCTTTGGTTAATTATCAACAGGACTTCAGTACACATCAAAAATTAGCTCTGACTGAATATCATGTTTCCAGATGAGATGAAGTACTAACTTAACCAAAATATGACAATGAGATTACTCAGTGAGAATTAGATGGTGGTGATGGCTGTACAAACTAGTGACTATACTAAAAATCACTGAATTATATATACTCTAAAATGGTGAATTTTTTTAATGTCAATTATATCCAATTTTTTTCCCCTAAAGAACAGCCATGCATATCATGACAGCAGACTTAAAAACCAAAAGTGAATATGGCCATCTACAGTGCTAGAGTGGATCAGACAGTAAGGAATCTACCTGCAACGTGGGAGACCTGGGTTCAATCCCTGGGTTGGGACGAACCCCTGGCGGAGGGCATGGCAACCCACTCCAGTATTCTTGCTTGGAGAATCCCCAAGGACAGAGGAGTCTGGCAGGCTACAATACATAGGGTTGCAAAGAGTCAGACATGACTGAGTGACTAAGAACAGCGCAGTGTTAGAGAATAAAACAATTTAGTCTGGTGGGAAAATAATTTTTGAAAATCCTAGTAAGTTCATCTTAAGTTCAGTTACAACTAAAATGCTTAACAGTAAGTTCAATCGCCAATCAACACTTAATCTCTACCAGTCAAGTTTTATGACTTCTCATAACAATCTAAACATGTTTTACAATTTTAACAATCACAAAGGCTTACATTTTAGGAGAGTAATAAAGCGGTCTTCCAGCGAGTCTGCTCACTGAAGTATTGAGTGGCAGGAGGAGAAACCCAGGAAATCTGCCACTTACTACCAAGTAAACGAGTTTTAATTTAACGTGTTTGTTTTAACCGATTAGGTAGCTCCGTGGGTCATAAACATCCTACAAACTTTCCTTCTCTTATCAGCAAAGTGATTCATCACAGATGGCCTGGCAAAAGCTGTCAGGTCCAAGATAATTGCTTCACAGTATCTCTTGAATTAAAGCTGATTGTAGGAAAGGAGATTCACATTTGTGATTTCATGTTTCTTTTTTTTATATTTTTTTAAAATGTATTTGGCTGCACCAGATCTTAGTTGCAGCACACTGGATCGTCAACCTTCATTGCAACATGCGGGATCTTTAGTTGTGGCATGTAGGATCTAGTTCTCTGACCAGGGATCAAAGCCGAACCCCTGCATTGGGAGCACAGAGTCTTGGCCACTGGATGACCAGGCAAGTCCTCATCTATTTCTTGACTGAAGAAGAGAATCATACTACTTGCTTTCCATGATATGGCAAGAACTATGCCCTCAAATTAAAACAAGTTACCATTTTCCTCTATCGAATTTGAAAAAATATAAAAGATCAATTATACCCAGTGTAGGAACTCCCCTGGTGGTCCACTGGTTATGACTCTGTGCTTCCAGTGCAGGGCGGGGCACAGGTTCCATCTCTGGTTGGGAG